CCGGAAACGCGATTGCGGACAGAATTACCACGTGATGGTGACGTCAGCACACCCGCGCCTGACGGCGTGACGCCTTCAGCTGTCGTGGTTTTAGCTATTTTACACCACGGTGTGGTCGCTTTTTGGGTNGTGATAGTTATTCCACTACACTCAAAGGACCCTAAGGTAGGAACTGTAAACAGCCATTTTTATGTTCCCATCACCATCACCACCACCATCTAACAATTAGTACCAAGCCTTGAGTATAGTGGTGATTTAGTAAGATATGCTGCAATGGACATGGATTTATAGAATTCACTTCTTAATATGTTGTCAAGTCTATTTACACCTTAATTTTAAATAGTCCTAAAACAAAAGAAAAAGTGTTTCAATTTGGGGAGGTTATATTTAGATCAAGGATATTTTTTAAATGCTGTTTCTTTTTTTCTTTTCTTTTCCTTTAGCAGTTCTCTGTTTTCGAGAAACTAGATATTTTCTCCTTAGTCCTAACTTGGCAACTGGGACAAAATAAACAAACAAACAAATTAGAAAAGGGTTTTAGAGACAATGCTAAGTGTATATATAGCAAAGAGAACTGCAAAGGTCTTGTTTTTACATACCATTGCAAAGCTATATTTAGAATGTCAGAAACCCATGTCAGTAGCTGAAGCGGTACAGTTTCACGTAAGGTTTTAAAGTCAGAAAGGCATTTGTTTTTGTGAGCATGGATGTGGCTTTATTCCCCTTCCATATGCCTTTTTGTTTTCCTTGTAGCCCTGAAATCAGAAACTATGTGGATATGAGTATACTGATGTGTTTGGAAAATAAAGACTATACATTAACCAGGCCACTTAAAATATTTTATTAGACTGCAAACATATTTCAAGTTGCACACATATTTATTGGTCACTCCTTCACCCTTCTTATTCCCTTCTCTATCTTTAATCCTAAAATCAGGTAGTCTTAGCTTTATTTTTCCCAAGCATTAAGATCACTAGGGCAGAGCCTGAAGAAGGACTATTGTCCTAAAGCAAGAGAGGAATTTATTTTTTTTACGCTAGGGTAAACTTTCATTTTTTAATTACATTTATTGGCATTACATTGATAAGTAAAATTATATAGGTTTGAA